ATATATAAACCTCTAGGTGGGATCCCATGTTTCCAGTAAATACTTTCCTTCTTCAGCTAATTCCACTGGGCAGGATGGGATGAAATATCAATGCTGGGCTCATCCTATAATCACTCTTTTTGAAGAGAAGCTTTCAGGTCTGCCTCAAATTCATCTGAAGTACCCAGAAATTTTTCATCGATTTCAACAAGCTTCAGCTCAAGCCTTTAATACGTTGTAATAAGCCTTACAACGCAAGATGAACTGAAGGAGTTTTCATTGGCAAACCTTCTAACAAAAGACGCCATGCATTTCCCAAACAAATATGCTGAAAAAGAGTCAGAGAAATAATAACATAAATGTTGATAAAATAACAAAAAAAAAAAAAAAAAGGGGGCACAGGAAATATTTCTTATCCTTATTTATTTAATAAAGAAACATAATAAACTTGAATTTTTCCAGGTACAAACAGCTTAATATGTCCTATGATATTGGCTGATATTTTCCTTGCTCTTTTCATAGCTTGAGTGATTCATGTGGTAGCCTTTATTGAACAAATCAACAGAAAAAATGGTAGCACTCACCATGCTTATAGACAGTGTGGGCCAACTATTGAGTTAGTGTCTTTAACTAAATCACTGCACCGGGAGGTTGTATCATTGCTAGATTCGGATCGGCAGCTCCATTAATAAAGATCTGCAAGTGAGGTTACTTGAAGTTTTTGAGGGGAGTTCTGCATACTGTACAAAGATACCATTCCCTCTTCAGCTCTAAAGAAATGTGCCACAAAACAATAGAAAACCCAATGGAAAACCAACCTTCCAGTTACAAAGGTTTTGAAAGTAGTTTACAATTCAGTTTTAGAAAGTTGAACTGTAAACATCTATAGCTAAGACCCCCTTTCAGATTTTTTTTCATTAAGTTTTTTTTTTTCTTTTTTACATGTTTTGAGTAGAGGATAGAACCATTTGTGATTGCATCAGTACTATAGGGTCTCACAGCAATGACAATAAAATGTTCAACGCAAGGGTGAAATGACCAGAGGAAGAGCTCTTCTCTAATATAGTCAGTGACCAGCTAATCGTCTCATTACATCCCGTTCGTTACTGGGCCTGAGTCTTAATAAGAATATCAGTTGAATATTTTCTAATATAAGTTGCAAATAATTACAATATTTTTAAAACAACATGACCAACACTGCACTGCTGAGTGCAGGCTGGCTTTTTCCTTGGGTTTTAAACAGTTTGTATTATATGTGAAAAAAATCACATAAGAAATACTCCTTTTCCTTAGTATTTTTCCCTCTTCTTTTTATTCTAAAGCTTTGACAAGAAAATAATTTTACCAGTTGTCAGCCAATAAATGCTTGTTCAGCAAGTAATGAATGGTCTATTTTCTAATTAAACAGTTTCATTATAGGCAGCAGCTCGTTGCTAATGATCAATAAATCCCATTGAGAAGAAAACATTTTAATCAGCAAGTCGTGTCCTCTGAGTGTCAGCCACTCTATAAACTCACAAGATACATATATATGTATAGATATACGTATGTGTGTATATATATATGCATATAAATATAAAAATCGCATACTCTTTTTGGGTGATATGTACAGTCAGAATAACATTACAGCATAAATACACAGGGAATCTGTATAAAGTTTCTCTAATTTGAGAAGCCTTGAGCAATTTTGTTTTTTGGGGGGGTTAGGGGTGGGGACAGAGGAAAGAATAAAGAGTGTTTTCACTTTAAGGAACGAAGAGTAGTTCCCTTAAGTTAGAATCTAATTACATACAAGATTTAAAGGCAATAAAATCCCAAGAGGAACAGCCCTATGTAATACACCATAGACATGGGGTTAAAAGGGCAAGAGAGCATGATTATAATAATACTTATATAGTATGTTTCATTCCCTTATAGCACTTTGCAACCAGAAAGTCTTACAACACCCCTGTGAGGTAGGTAAGTATTATTATCCCCATTTTACAGATGGGTAAACTGAGGCACAGATAGGTTAAATTATTTGCCTAAAAATCATGTAGTAAGAATCAGGAATAGACCCCAGGAATCCTGATGGCAAATCCTCTGAATTAAACGATAGACTACTCTCAAATGAATGCCTGAGACACCTCTCAATGAATGGAGAGAATATATTAGCCCATATTTACACAGATACATCAGCATCCTCTTGACATGTTGTCTTTACATATTCTGACTTGTTTAGAGGACAGATAACAGTGGCCATAGATAAACTTGACTGCAACATGTCGCTTTAATTCTTGTTGCCAACCCCATGTGGATTTTGACTCCTTTACAACCTGGGATGTAACTAAATGTCAATGACAATACACCTTAAATACATTCTTGGTATCTTTGCTTCTCCGAGATGAAAAGCGCAATTACTCTTCCTTAAAGTGCAATGGCTCATTACAGAAATCTCAAAATTTTCCATGAAGTCCAACCAAACCAAAGTACAATCAGTCTGAAGGTGAAAAAGAAAGAAAGTTTGTAATGATGGACTTGTCTCTGTATTCCGTAAATACTTTCTCACATTCTCTTGAGGCTGAAAGTTTAATAATAAATAATAATCTATGTTAGCACGTAAAACCTCTACTTTTCTACAGCCACACATCCACCTTTCACCCCATTGTCATTTCTTTGGCCTGAAGCTGATGGACACATCAACTGTAAATATTACTTTGCCTACATGAGCATATATCTATTTTCTAGTAGATTCTTTTTATTGTTTCCTGTATTTCTTGTCCTTCCCTAGTGATCTAACTGTACCGTCGGAGAAAATGAAAGATGGACACTAAGTAGAAAGGATTCAAAACCTCAAAATTTATGTACAGATCCAGAGGCAATTCCCCTCCCACCTTCTTGATCACACTGTTGCAGCCGTTCTGCATGGTCCAATTGGCATTTTTTTAATTATTATTAGTAGTAGTAATATTAATTTTGATGCACAGGGTTTCCAGTAAGGCTGCTTAGCTCAGTGTTCCTGGGGAAAACATAACCTATCCCACTACCTTAACAGAAACTTTGCCAGCGTAGATGGTGCTTTGGAGCACTACACACAAATGTGATGCGCTACTTCTATGGCGAGTTTGATTGCGGTATTCAAAGCAGATTCTTGAAACATACTAAAAAATTAGTGCTTTTATTAACAGTTTTACAAACAGAATCCATTACTGTCTAGTTCTCTGAAGGATAGAACAATCCATTTCTCTCATTATTTTGACATCATTTCCTTTGTTGGGTTTTTTTGTTTTGTTTTGGGTTTTTTTGTATTTCTGCTGATGAGCAGTTGCAAGTCCCGCAAGAGGGAGGACTTAGTGTAATAAACAATTAAAATGTTGCTAACTTCATAGTTTACTTTGCAACAACTTTCCTCTTCTAACGATGGGGATCCCGCAAGTTCCTATTAGCTTGACTCAGAGTTCATCATGAAGAGTGTAAGGATCATTAATCTCCATGGAAAAAGAGACTTTTTTTTTTTAAGTAAAAAAATATCAAATATAATAAATTTATGAAAGACCATTCACAACATATACAGTAAGTGTTACATTTTGCTACAGCAGCTGTGATATTTTTTTTTTCTTTTTAGAATGCAAGGTCATACATCGCCATAAGTAAACACACTAATATGAGTAAGACCTTAAATGAATGTATACAGCCAGGCTTTATCTGTGGATAGATATACACTGTGTTTACTGTTTTACAGTCTAGCATATTCTTATTCACACCGCTGATATAACAGCTATGACCCTGCAAAGATTCTTCCTGTGCATATATAAATATAAATATTGAGCCAAGTCAAAAAGAGCAGGGTCAAAGGTTATATGACTTATTAGACTCCTGTAGTTAAGGGTAAAACCTCCATTGTTTCTTTTGCAATTAATTTTTAGTAAGAAGGCTGCTTCAATCATTGTGTAGTTACAGCATTACATTCTGTAAACAGTATTTTAAAGCATTCTAAACAAACATTTAAACAATTGATTCTTTATCCTTGTCCGGTGAGAGAAGACAATCTATAGCCTCATCGCTTTTGCTCGAGTCTGTCATCTTCAGCTGGAGATTGTCACTTGTACCTCTGGTGACGCTGTCATAGGATGGAGGGAAAGATGTGGAGGACAGAGTTTCTGATTTGTCTATTGGCCTGCCGTAGTTTTCGTTCATCATGAACGCAATAAGACCCTCCTTCTCAGGTGCATCGTCCTCGAGGATACTGCCGTCAAAAGTTCTGTGCCGGTACAAGTAGGATGCCTGCTTCATGGAGCGCCGAAACAAATGTCTCCTGTAGGCCCGCTGGATGACGATGGCAGAGACCTCTTCTTGTTTCCGCCTGAGAGTTGTTGTAATCGGCTCATAAGAGATCTTAGACGGATTTGCCGCCATGAACTTTTCTTCCATCTGTATTTTAAGGGCATCCATCTCTCCAGATTCTCCTAGCACCCTTTTTGTAAAAGCAAACAAAATATCTAAGCAATGGATCCTATCTCCACTGACCATGGGCAGGTCCATTGCTATGAGTTTGATTTTGTTTGGTTTCGCTATGCGCAAAGGTTCTGACAGCGCGTCTGCAAAGTCTGAAAGTGCAGAATACTCAATAAACTGAGTGGCTTCAGGGTCAAACTTCTCCCAGATTTCATAGAACATATCAAAATCATCCTCGCTTAGAGGCTCTGTACTTTCCTCAGTGGCTACACTGAAGTTCTCTAAAATAATGGCTATATACATGTTTACAACAATGAGAAATGATATAATGATATAAGTAACAAAGAATAAAATCCCTACAGCAGGGCTTCCGCAGTCTCCCTTGGAACCATTTGCATTCGGAAGGTTTGGGTCGCAATACGGTGGTCCGGTGTTTAAAATAGGGTTGAGAAGACCATCCCAGCCAGCTGATGTTGTGATTTGAAAGAGACAGAGCATGCTGTTAGCAAAGGTTTGGAAGTTGAACATGTCATCAATCCCATGCTCCTTCTTAACATAGGCAAAGTTAGCCATGCCAAAAATGGCATAAATGAACATGACCAGAAAAAGCAGGAGACCAATGTTGAACAGAGCAGGTAGGGACATCATTAAGGCAAAAAGCAGAGTTCGAATTCCTTTGGCTCCCCGGATGAGTCTTAGGATCCGGCCAATCCGAGCCAAGCGAATGACTCTGAAGAGTGTGGGAGAGAAGAAATATTTCTGGATGATGTCAGAAAGTACGGTGCCTTGAAAAGAGACAAACAGCAAGTTAGTACATGGGAAATAATCCCACGTTTCCCTTTAAAGCAATCAGTCAGGACTATGGACAAAAATCAATGAAAAGTTTCCCAGATTGGAAGACCCAGTGTAAAGGGAATGGCATTGTCGTTAGTGTTTTCATGCCCATTTAATCCGTGCAGACTTTGTTGAGACTATGAGCAAAGGTGTCAATGGTAGCAGCAGTTTTATTAAGGGAAAGCTTGTCTATTGGGAATGAGAAACCAGATTCAACTCAGATAGGACACAGATATCTGCAGCTTTTGGCCATGACCCACCTGAGAAATTTATCCTGAGTGCAGCTAGTCAGAATTTTTCTGATATAACAATATTTTTGTCTGTAAAATGTTAGTGAGCCAGCACTGAAATGCTGGTGTGCTGGGCCTGTTTTTCTGAGCCACTGCCAGAACGGTGCAGATTTCTACTGGAAATCCACTTGGTTGTTAGTTTACTTATTAATTTTTCCAGTTTCCCTGATGGGCTGAGGGGGAACTAAGGGCTGAGATTGTACTAGCAAGGAAACGAGCCTGTATCCCTGTAGCTAAACTCTTCCTGCAGAAAGAGAGCAGCTTGGTCCAGGTTGTCTAATGCCAACAGTCCCTGACTGCACTGAGCCGTGCTGAGCTCGTGTCTCCCAGCTCAGCCTGGCCCAAGTCCTCCGACGCTGAAACGACCTGGCTGATCTCGGCGCAGCACTATGACAGTGACAGCTCTGGTTAACTGGCTGCTATGGGCATATCCAGAGCATCCAGCATCAAGGCTCTGATGAGAGCTGCATGGTAATGATGCTCCCTGCATGACCCAAATCTGTGAAATCCAGGTGGTCCAAGGCCTCTAAAGCACAGGCTGCTCTCTGGGCACCAGAGATCTCCTTCACTGGGGTCCTACAGGTTCCCCAGTCCACCAGAGAGCAACAGGAGCATTAGTCAATGAGAAGATGGCTCTGTTTTCCTAACATGACATTTTTTCATTCCCTCCTTCAAAATGAAATCTTTTTTGGAAGAACCGAATTTTTGAGTTCCATCTGCTCACTGGGTTAGTTGATCATCTTCCAGTTGCTACTTTATTCCCAACTTCACTGAAAAGTCTTTTGGCAGGATTTCAGATTCACGTTTGACCTGCACTTCTGTAGCACCTAGCATATGATCTCTGGTTGGGGCTGCAGAACAGCAAAAGGCACAAATTAACAGTAAAACTCTGTTTTTCTGTTTCACCCCTTGGATATATGAGAGTGTGGAGCTCTAGTGACAGCAGGGCTGAGAACAGCCAGATTCACTGCACCTGCCCAAACCTGCCCTGAAGGACTATTTCAAACCATTGTAATAAAAAGTAAATAGCAAAAGAATAGCAATTCGCATGTGCCCTTTTCATGTGGCTTTTTTACTTCCCTGTCTTTGGCTGTCATGCAGAACCGAAGTTAAGTGTATTTTGCCAGTTCTGGACCAGGTTTTAACACCATGAACCATTAAGGGTACATTGAAACCAATACTGTGGTATGATAAACCTCATCATTTTGCTGATCACACAAGTTATTGTTAGGCAGTATTATGTTATATTATAATTACATATTTAAAAATATGCTTAGGATTCAATTCTCTGAGTTGAAAGTGTATATTATTACACAAAGCCTTTAACTTTGTCTAATTCATTTTATGTCTGCTTTTTAAACTTTGGAGTTTGGGTGAAAATCCTGGTTCACCTACCTACAATAGACAGAATCACGACGACAAAGTCAAATATGTTCCAACCATTGGTGAAGTAATAATGTCTCAGAGCCAGCATTTTGATGATGCACTCTCCAGTGAAGATGGCAACAAAAAGCATGTTGATTTTATGGAGTATGTTCACTTTTTCTTGACTTTGGTCATCTGTTTCCACCATCATGGTAACCATGTTAAGGCAGATGAGAATCATGATGGAGACATCAAAGGCTTGTTTTGAAACGACATCAAAAATAAAACCTTGGTATTTGTTCTGGAGGAAAGGAGGAGATTTAGTTAGGAAATTTGAACCATGTCAAAGTGATGACATCATTTTCTCCTGATTGATCAGAAAGTAGAGGAAAAGAGACAATATACTGTTTCTGATTGGAACTTCATAAACCTAAAGATGATGATGAGTGGTTGTATGATAGAGTTTTCAAACCCATTTACTCCTAATGCTTCTTGAAACTACAAAAAAAAAGACCCTGGACTGGGGCCATGAATTCATTCAATGCAGGCATGCGGCCACTGGCATATGTAAATTGGACTTTTAGTCAATATTGCAGAACAATGCGAATTTAGTACCGCAGGTCACTGGACTTGCAAATACTGTCCAAAATCAAAACACGTAAATACTAAGTGGCTTTTACCTGGGAGTGATCACCCTTCCTACACCGGGAAGTTGAATTGCATTGATTCTATTAGATAAATATTCAGCTCACATAATGCAACTGAATTGTGCCATTCTTACCAGTGGCCTTGGGATTGGCTTTTGAGGTTTCTTAGATCCCAGCTTTTTCATTGCGTTATAATACTTTTTCTGTTCTTCTGTCATAAAGATGTCTTGTCCACCTAAGTATAGGGTGAGAACAAAGCTATTATTTTTGATGAAAAGAGCTCCACTGCCTCCATCTGAAGGTCAGGGCTGCATCCTTTTCTATTTTCTTATTTTCCTTTTCATGTAGCTTTCACCAAAATATCTAAGAAGGGCTTGATGAGATGCAGTGCTGGGAGCTGCTTATTGCATGGTGGTGAAGGGCAGGAGACACAGAGCAGTGCAGGCAGCCAAGGAGGAGCAAGACTCGGCTTCTGTCTGCACTCAAGGTAGGTCCAGGGCAAGAAGGGGAAAGAGAAGAACCTCAGCCCTTTGTTTAGAGCCTACAAAGCAGTGAGAAACACAGCTCTCAGGACAGGCTGCTCCTGCCTGACCCTGGCTGCACCCTGGGGCAGGGGATGGTGGGTTGAGGAGAACAGGTTGCACTGCTCTGAAGGACGGTGGTGGTTGTGCCTGGGGGACACCAGGGCGGTGGGTGCCTCTGCGGCAGAGCTTGTGCCAGAGATCCCATCTGCGTGGAGCTGCTTCACTGCTTTCTGTGAGGAATATACAGCCTCTATTTTCAGGACTTTCACCTTATGGAGGGATTAGAGGCTGCTACAACTGTGGTCTTGTAAAACTCCTGCGAGACCATTTCTGTGGCTGTTCTGTCAATGCCAATCTCGAGGCTAAAGCCGCTGCCTATAAATCTATCCCTTGCCCTGGTCTCTGCAGCAATCACAAGGTGATGTGTAGCATATGCACTACTTATCTTTTTCTTTTGTTGGTTGAAATTGTCAATGATGACACCAATGAAGAGGTTGAGTGTGAAGAAAGACCCGAAGATGATGAAAATCACAAAGTACAGGTACATGTATAAATTACATTCCCATTCAGGCTGCTCCTCACACTGCAAAGGCAAAAGGGAAGAGGCGAAAATGACACCAGGTCTGCACATGTCACAATATTCATGCAGTTAAAAGAAAACTATCCATTGGCAATAAATACTACGAAACAGGAAAACTCGTGTAATGCCACTAGCAGAGTCAGCGCTCCTCGGTCTCTGTTTGATGTTTACTACTGGCATCTGCAATGCCACGGTCATTTCAGCTACATTTCACTACACTGGCACAGCAATCACACTGCTTCTGAAAGTGCAACTTCAGAAGAAATCCTATAAAATGTTCTCAATTTGAACCCAGAAGGGGAAAAGAATCAATTTTCTGATTATCCCTAATCTTATAAGAACTAATGGTACTTAGAAAAAGCAGAAGTATGATCACAGTATAATTAAATGCAAATGAAAAACTGTATTGAGAGTCAGTGTATTTAGAAATACAGTATTTCTTTTATGAAGAGTAGAAATGAACGAGATCTCTTGCTGAAGGACTGAGCAACACATTCTGATAGCCCCAAATCACCGGTATCACATTTGGCAAAACTGCGCAGATTTGCCTCGCCAGCTCCAGATATCTAACCAAGACGCCAGAAGCTTGCATTCCCCTAAAGGCTGTATCTTCTCCTGTGTACCCCGTGCGTTTCATTCAGGAGCAGGGAGGATACACGTACGTGTACGTGTAGTACAAGAATAAATCAACATCATAAGCTATGTTATGCAAAGGTACTTCTCTGCCCTTATGATGCCATGAGGTTTTTCCACCCCTTATTCCTCCATTTGGGATTTGACTCCCTGTTGCTCAGTTCAGTCTGCCAAATTCTCAGTACCAGATAGCGACCTCAAGTAATCTTGTTCCTTTAATATTAATTAAAGAGGGAAAGGAGAAAACAAGTTCTTCAACAAAAAATAAACAAACCACACATGATGTAGCAAGGGAAATGCCTTTTTTTTCTTTTTTTTTTCTGTGTTTGTGTTTTTTGGTTTGTTTTTTTTTTGGTTTTTTTTTTTTGTTTTTTTTTAAAGCAACCTGAAAGCTAAACAGGATGCAGGTAAGAACTGGGCAGTCACCAGCACCCAGAGCTTCAGCACATCTCAGGCCAGAGCTGGAAGTTCACACCAGCCTCTTTC